CCCGAGTGTCCTGTGAACTCCTGTCGACACTCAAATCAGCCATCTCCTCCTCTGTGAAGCCCTCCTAATCTGCCCCATCCCTCCCAGCCCTGGCACAGCTTCCCACCCTTCCCCTGTGCCCCCATCACTCCCGAGTGAACTTTCTCTCTGCCGGCATCTGCGTGGGCTGCCGGGCAGTACGCAGCACACGGCAGTATGTGGCACACGGCAGTATGTGGCGGGATCCCGGCTGTGCTGAGGGCAGGAGGGGCGTGCCCGGGCTTCCTGCTCTTCCAGGTCCTCACTGCTCAGTGATGAGCAGGTCCCTCCTCTGGTGGCTCCACTGAATCCAGCTCCCCACTTGTTTAATTCGCCCTGACCTTGCATTTAGGGCATTAGGACAGTCTGGCTTTATTGAAAATCCTCTGGGTAAGCTTTTTTTTTTTTTTTTAATTGAGGAATACCATAAAGAACATAAAAGTATAGTAATCTTAGGTGTAGTGTTTGAGGATTTTGGACATGATTATACTTGTGTATAATTCAGGTCAAGACAGAAAACATTTCTAGCATCCCACACAGCCCCTCCCCAGTCTCTAGCCCAGGCCCCCACACCACCCCACACAAGGTAATCACTACTCTGATTTTGAAAGGGGCCTTTTTAAAGTTTCAGAGTTTTTTTTTTTTTAATTGTGGTGAAATAAACAACATTTACCATCTTAACTATTTCTATGTGTACAATTCAATGGCATTCAATACATTCCTCAAAGGTATTTTTTTACATTTAAATGGTACTGGCAGTACTTTCTTGGGGCAAAACAACTGAATGATACAGAAGCAGATAGAACAGAAAGTGAAAGTCCCCAACCTCAGTGTCTTCCTCAGAGGGAACCACTGTTCTCAGTTTGTGTATTCTTCCAGGCCTTTGACTGTGTATTTTCATGTAAGTATCTATCAACCCAGGAGAATGTGATATACCTATGTGTACATGTTTCAGTGCTATAGTCTTGGGTTTTTTTTTTTTTTTTTTTTTTGAGACAGAGTCTTGCTTTGTTGCCCAGGCTAGAGTGAGTGCCGTGGCGTCAGCCTAGCTCACAGCAACCTCAAACTCCTGGGCTCAAGCGATCCTCCTGCCTCAGCCTCCCGAGTAGCTGGGACTACAGGCATGTGCCACCATGCCCGGCTAATTTTTTCTATATATATTAGTTGGCCAATTAATTTCTTTCTACTTATAGTAGAGACGGGGTCTCGCTCTTGCTCAGGCTGGTTTCGAACTCCTGACCTTGAGCAATCCGCCCGTCTCGGCCTCCCAGAGAGCTAGGATTACAGGCGTGAGCCACTGCGCCCGGCCTAGTCTTGGGTTTTTTAAATCAAAAACAATCATTGCTTATAGCTTGCTTTTTCACGTGCAGTCTTGCGTCTGGGTTTCTCAAAGCTGGTGCACCCCGACCTAAGCGTAGGACATCCTGCTTGGCATCTGTCCCCTCCGTGATGCGCCTCACCCCCCTCACTTGGGCACCTGACCCTTGCTTATTTCTTTCCTTCTCCCAACCCTGCTTCCCCCTTTGCAGAATCTGCTCTCAGATCCCCCAGTCCCTGAAAGGTCTTAGTCATTGCTGAGTCTGGGGAAGTCTCCTTCCCCAGAGTATTTGATTTTTTATAAAGCAAGAACCAAAGCCTTAGGTGGAGGGGTGCTAGGTTGGTGGGAGGCTTCATGAACCAGCAGGCAGGTGCAGACACTTTAGGGAGTAGTTAGGCCCTGGGGCACCCCTGGAATCCCATGACCTTCAGCTGACTTTGACTCCAGAAGCCAGCTCAAGTGTCCAGCCACGAGAGCTCAAGGCCCCTGTGTTTCCTAGTCGGGTGCCTGGTAGAACCACTGCGGTCAGCAAGGAGACTCTGTCCCGCCATACTCCTCCTGTGGCCCAGGCTCAGGCACCTGAGAGCCTAGCCTTTGGCAAAACCTGAACCTGTGGCATTTGGGAAATATAGACCTTGTTTGCAGAATACTTTTCTTTGGGACATGCCCTGTGTACTTTCTTTATGAGAAGATAAACCCAAAGGCCTTCTGATTTTTGACTCTGCAGTGGGCTTTTCCCACCTCTGGTTAGTTTCATTAGGCTTGCTCTTTAACTGTGCTGAGTTCAATTTGGCTTTTTTTTCTTCCCTCCCTCCCCACTTCCTTTTCTTCTTTTTTGCCAGTCTGTCTTTTACTTTGCATCCAGTCTCGTCCAGGCACTTGTTCCTGCGGCCACAAGTTCACTTGGCAGCAGCCTGTTGAGCCCTAGCTTCGCTCCAGGCATCATGGTTAGTGTTGAGAGCACAGTGGGGAGAAAAGGGACAAGTATGCTTCTCCTGGGGGTCTTCAGTCTGGAATATCCTGGGCCTTCAAGGGTAACAGGAAGACTCGTGAGAGGCCGGCAGCCAGAAGGATCATGACTGGAGCAGCAGGGATGGTCACAAATCTCTGCCCACTCTTCCCAGCCAAGTTCTACCAGCTTCTCCATGCTAACACTGATGCTTGATGTTGTTAGCATTAAGGAAGAAAAAAGTTAGGTTTCCTTAAATATAAAAGAACAAAAGGAAACAAAAGTAGACCATAACCCCAATGTCCAAATGACTCCTTGAATTTTTTTAAATCAAGTTAGTAGATGTACATGATTAGAAATTTCAAACCAAATGGAAAGGAATGAAATGAAAAACCACATATGTGCTGTGCAGTGCCCCTGCTTGTTTTAGTTCCCCAAAGATCAAATGCCAATCCATTCTTATGCATTGTTCCAGGAAAAGTTATACTTACACATCGTGTATAGCCTTTGAAAAGCTCTACCTGAAAGGGACCTACTGTGTGCTCTGTTCTGCTTTTTCATCCCAGTGCTTTGTCTGCATCAGTACATCTGGGAATAAAAAGACCTCAGTCTTTCTAACATCTACACAGAGTCCCACTGTGTGGACAGACAGACCATAATTATCTAACCACTCCCCTATCGATGGACATTTAGGTTATTTCCAGCTATTTACTGGATGGTTGCATTTTAAAGGTTTGAAATTTCCCCAGTAAGTGTGGCCCCCCTCCCCCCAAACACCTGCTCATCCAGAGAAGCAGATCCCTTTGGAAAGTTTTTAAATTCAGTCTTACAGTGATCTTTCTTTCTTTTTCTTTCTTTCTTTCCTTCCTTTCTTTTTCTTTGGAGGCAGGCAGAGAAAAGACGGTAGCTGTCATGTTAAGTGCTTACTGTTTCACCAGGCTTTGCAGGAGATTTATATCCATACTTTCTTTTGGTTCTAAGGGGCCAGAATTAATCTCCCTTTGTTTTAGACAAAGAACCTGAGGCTCAGAGAGGCCCTGCAGCCAGTGAAGGGTCCAGCTGGGCTGGGGTTCGGACCATTCTGACTGGCTCTGGGCCCCAAGAACTTTGTTTCACTTTCCAAAGTTCTGCTGGTTGTTCTGTACATCTGAGGCCATATAGAGCTTCAGGAGGGGTTTTTCCACCTATCTGTGTGAATTTTTGCTCATAACTTCTAACTAGGGTGGGTTTGGTCTCGATTTTCTGTTTCTGAAAGCTTCGATTGCTGTGTGGCATGCTGTAAAATTTTGGAGGAGTAGGTGATGATGGGAGGAAGTGAGTCACTTCCTTTTGGGGCCCTAACTTCCCAGGCTCAGGTCCTTCAGGAGAAGATGAGGGGGGCGTTCAGGGCTGCATTCGCTCACACAGTACCAAGTGGCTTTGATGGATGCCGTCTGTCACACGGTGCTCACTTGGAAGACTCCCGTCTCTGGGCTCTTGGTTGTTGACGTCTGTAATACACAATCTGAATTTCCTGGACAGTAGAATCATGTCTGAATTTATCCATCATTTTTATGGTTGAATAATCCAAAGTGGGTAAATAAAAATTAATGTTTGGATTTAGATGCTAATTTAGCTTTCAATTGAGTTTTGTTTTGAGCGTTATTGAAATTAATGTGTGTTCCTTGAGCACATTCTGCTTATTGGCAAGGTACGGTGGCCCCCAGAATGCGACTGGTGGTGGTTTGGGGTACATTCAGAAGATGGATAATCCACATCAAGATAATGGAAAAGTTTATTTTAAAACTTCTTTTTTAATGACAAAATGATGTCTGAACATTATCCAGACTCTGGAAAGAGAAAACACTTTCATCAAAATCCTACCCCAAACAAATCAGTTTCTTTCGTCTTTGGCTCCCTTCTAGACTTGGTCCATTTGCATGTGTATACTCTTGAAAGAGTATTAAATATGGAGTGGAGTTTGAACACCCAGTGAAACACTATTATTTTAGAAAGAGCTTGGGCTTTGGAGATGGGCAAGCTCCAACTCAAATTCTGACCTGCAGCTCAGTAGCTGTGTGACATTGGGCAAGTCACTTAACCCTTCCGTGCCTCTGTTTTCTCAACTATAAAATGGGGCTAATAATTCCTATATACTATGGCTGTTATGAAGACTGAGATACAGCAATATGGACACGAACCACAGGTGACATTGGATCAGTGTGCTATAGCTAAAGCACAGATTGTATAGACGGTATGTGGTTTCGAATCCCAGCTCTGCCACCTCCCGGCTGGGTGATCTCAGACAGATCATTTAATGTCTCTGAGCTTTAGTTTCTTCATCTGTAAAATGAGGATGTCACAGTACTATCTCAGGTGGTTGCTGCAAAGTTTAAGTGAGATAATATAGTCAGGGCGCTCAGAGCAGCGTCTGGCATGTGGTACCATAGAAGTGTTACTGGAAAGTGTTTTTCTGATACGAACAACACCACCTGGGGAACACAGAGCTGGTCCTGGTAAGGGGCAGCATTTCTGACTTCGGACTGTGGGCAATAAATGGTAGCTGGTGCTGTTGTTTTCATTATTTGATAATAATGGTGGTGTCAATAACAGGCATAATAATAGATCAGGAGGTAGCATTTGTTGTTTTGGAGATTATTTCTTAGGACAGCTTGCTAGCACCTCGTGAGAGAGCAGCACTCAGATTCACCTGTCGTCTTTGTTCGGCTTCCTTAGGCTAAGCCCAGCATTCGGTGCTTCATTAAACCCACTGAGACGCTGGAGCGGTCCCTTGAGATGAACAAGCACAAGGGCAAGAGGCGGGTGCAGAAGAGACCCAACTACAAAAACGTTGGGGAAGAAGAAGATGAGGAGAAAGGGCCCGCCGAGGACGCCCAAGAAGATGCTGAGAAGGCTAAAGGTACAGAGGGTGGTTCCAAAGGCATCAAGACGAGTGGGGAGAATGAAGGTGAGTGTCCCCATGAACACTGCCCTGTGCCCTGCTGCCGTCTGTATCCTCCCCACCCTAACCTCTGGCCCCACTCGTGTCCAGTGGGTGCTCTGTCCGTTCCTGACACCAGAGCACCTCATTTTACACAATCAGCCATTGGCATACAGCTATGGGCTGTGCGTCCCACGCAGATCCAGTACAAGTCATAGGTGATAACCTTGTGCCTCAGTTTCCCCATCTGTAAAAGAGAGTAACCAATAGTACCTACTTTGTAGTGTTATCACCAGAGATAAATGAATGAATATGTGTAACGTGTTCAGAACCATTCCTGGCCCGTGTTAAATGCTGTATAAGTATTTGTTGTTGCTACTACTATCATTATTATTATCATCAGCGTCTTTATCCTTATTGCTGTTGTAATTATTCCTGATGCCACAGGATTATGATTTGTATCCAGTGTACTATGGGAAGAAAGGGGGTTTGTGTTTAGTGAAATTGAGTATGTGTTTTTGGAATCAAATCATCAAATATAATCCCCTTGATTCTTACACCAAGATTTTTTTAAAGTCCCGTTTATAATGCGGTGCACTTGTGTGTGGTGAATATGTGTTCCTCTTTTTGCCTTTGGGAATGATTCTGGTTGATTTTTCACCTCTCTCTTGTTTAGATGCTAAAACCCTGAGCTGGAGAGCATTTACTCTGGGATTAAGCAAACTTGAACTGTCCAGTTGCTTGTGTCATGGGCCAGGCTCACAGCTACACAGACGGGGTCTCTGGCCGTGGCCCTGGGCATGGGCTGGGGGATGGTGGGAGGTGGTGGGGAGTTTGATACTTGGTAGAAGTGGGGCAGGGGCTCTGCTCACAGGAGGGGAGGTCCAGCCACACCTCCTGGGGCAAACTCAGCCTCTCTGCAGCAGCCTGGCTGTGGGAGTGGGAACCACTTCCCGGGAGCCGTCCTCCTGGGCTCGCAGTGGCTGCTTTGAAGCCAGCTCTCCCCAGCCTCATTAGCAGGGACTGTGCGAGCCCCCTAGTCCAGGACATCGGAACCTGTAACACAGAGCCACTCACTGGATCAGTGCCTGGGAACTCATTCACCTTTGGGAGTTGCCTGCAATTCTGCAGCCAGAACATGCCTCCACCCCGACCCCGCTAGTCCCATCATGATTTTCTTGGCAGTTATCAGTGAATGCCACAATCACACTTTGATAAGTAAATCAAAAAGTGATGCCAACCAGTCCTCTTCTCAAGGTTTAGCTCTCTCCAGCTTGCTTTTATTTCTGTTCAAAGTGTGTAGTAAGCACTTTGGTTTAGGAATCCTTTTTTGGCCTGGGAAACCTTTGTCAACAAATATCACTTTGGTGGGGAAGTGAGGGGCAAACATAAGGTAAGCTATACTTATTTGCTTATTTGGGTCATTTTGATTTTGTTTGTTAATGCAGAAGAAAATGGTCTGCCTAACCCTTAGGCCTAGCTGTTCTATAGCCACACTGGGGGAAAAATGGACATCTTTACCTCATTTTGGACACTGTGTTCTTGTCAATTTTGTTTTGGAAAGATGCTACCTCTTCCGTTCCAGTCCTTTTAAGGGATGTTGTCTAACAAGGCCTCGGCCGTGACTAACAGTGGTGTGGACAGGGCAGGCTTGGGCCCCAAAGCACAATCAAATTAGTCAGAGGAGTGGCCCCGTCCCAGACTACAGGGGTTTCAGGCCAGCTCAGGAAGCTGCCATTTCAGCTTGGGCTGCTTGGAGTGGTGGCTCCTAGACGCTGAGCCCAGCTGCCCTGTGCAGGGTACCAGCCTCCAAAACATGTTTCCCAGGCAGTTACTCAGCCCGACTGTGCCAAGCAGGACCCAGGCATCTCCCCAGAGGCCTTGCTGGGACAGTTGGTGCTGACTTCAGAGCTTGCTTGGTCAGGTGTGGTTCTCAGTGACCCCCTTGGCAATTTTGGTGCCCTTCTAATTTCTTGAACATATTAGTCATTCCAGATATGATGGGCCTGTCATCTTTCCATGGCTCACCAAAGAGAAATAGGACTTTCTCAGACCAGTCCTGCTAGGCGGCAGCAGTTGTTTTCTAGAGCTTTTTGAATTGAATATTTGCTCTCTTGTTATTCTCATATTTGAAGGTGTGGTTGGTGGGTGTTTTATTCCTAGACTGTGTCTGTGTTTGGGTCAAACCGCACAGCTGTTAATTCCTGTGACTTGGAAGGGTGGCGGGCACATTTTCTCATTCACGTTGCAAACCAGAAAACAGTGTAGACGGGGGATGTCTCAGCATCTAGGATTATTGTGTGCCTTGCATGGTCTCCTTAAGCCTGTACCTCATTTTCCCCATCTGGAAACTATGAGTATAGAAAATATAATTCACATGATGACCTTTTTTTTTTTTTAATGAAGATACGTTGGTATTCTTATGGATGCAAGATTTAGAAATCCAACTCAAACAGGCTTAAGCAAAAAGGGTGCTTATATTTCATATTCCTGAGAAGCTTGGGTGGTGCTGGACCAGGTGCAGCTCCAGGCTTGCACCCTGCGGGCGTAACCACCGAGTGGAGGGGAAGCCCGTCCTTCCCAGCAGCCACAGCTGCTGGGGCTGATGCGTGCTGGCGCTGTGGGCTGGGCTCGGGTTCACGCCCCCAAAGGTGTTCTGAGCCGATTGGCCAGGCCCGAGTGATGCGCCTACCCCATGGTGGCTTCCTCAGTAAAATATGAGATGTGTTTATCAGAAGCGGGGGCTTGGATGCTGGGCCAGCAGAAACAGCAAATTCTCCCCCAGAAAGCCACACTATTTCTGGGTATTCCCCGTCTCTCTCAGAGCCATCCTCTCCCTTCCTATATGGAGGTAGCCATGTGGCTGTTTTCTCCTTCACATCATTTCTTCTCTAGCAAGCACGTTAGTGCTAGAGGCTTGTCGGGAGCCTCCTTGTAACAGGCAGACACAAGCGACTCTTAAGGAGAGACGCTGGCACTGGGTCCCCACTGCATACCCCGCCCCCCCCCTCTTAGCAGTGAAATCTTTACTGAAAAAGATGGGTGACACACAGGAGTAAAAACGGCATGCGGTCACAAGGCACAGTTTTGCTGTGACCTGATTTGAATGTGGCATTAACTTGTTTTTTTTTTTTTTTTTTTTACAAATGCACCCAGAATTCACACCTCCTCCACACTGAAGCCCAGACAAGGAAGCTGTGTGAAATGAATGTGCACCCGGACCCTCCACTCCCACCCCCAGTTTGCAAAGAAATTTGCTCTGCCTCAGGTCTCAAGTGATAAATGACTCATTCTGAAACCAAGAAATCACAGGACCCCTAAATTTTTAGAAATTAAATACTAAAAGGAAGAAGAGGGATGTCGTAGTCCCTGTAGCCAAAAAAGTATTCGCTCTGCCCAGGAAGCCAAACACCCTAGGGTACATGCTCATTTCTTAGCTTGCTCTTCAGAATGAAAGGATAGTCATCTCTTTTTGTATTTATTTAGAGCAGTAACTTAATAAGCAGACCTGAGACAAGAGACTGAATCGTTTGAACTCTTTGTTTGAAAAATAGGGCTGGGCTATTATTGTTTTTTGCCTATTGAAAAAGGAAGCATTAATTGTACAGCCTGACCTTCAAAGCCTGCTGATTTCTTGGAATCCCAGCAAGGCCATGGAGCGAAGGCAGCAAGATTGACTTTGAACCTGATAGGTCAACTGGGATTTGAGGGGTACCTGGGAGTTTGGAGCCCCAACTTTGCCATTTTTAGCTTTTTTTTGAAGTCTACTAAAAGATGGAACCTGGCCTCATTTCCAGCTCCTCTTACAAAACTAAAGCCAGACCCAGGCTTGTCAGTGTTCTGATTGGGGTGAGCCAGGGACCTACTGTTGGGACGTAGGATCTGAATCCGAGTCCTGCCCTTACACAGCTGTGTGACTCTGGGCAAGTCATTGCCCTCTCTGTGCTTCTTCACATGAGAGGGAGCTTCCTAATGCCCAGCCCTCAGGATGTCACAAGTGAGGATGTCAGGGCTGCAGCGTTCAGCATGCGACATGGGAGCGCTGAACAGGAACCCTGGCAAGTGGCGGGTAGAGTCAGGTATGTGGTTGGGCGACTCTGCCTGGGCACCTGGCGAGTTTCTGTGGGGCCCATTTGTCTGTTAATTCCTACAACTAGTAAGGGAGGTGAGTGAGTGTGCGAAATCATAGGGAGAGAGGAGGGGAAGGACTGGCAGGCTCTGGCACTGCTGTAGAGAGATGTGGGGCGGCCAGCTTTTCAAATGGGCTTAACTAGGATAAGGAAGAAGATTGAAGGTGAATTAGGACAAATCCTCTGAAGAGTAACTTCCCAGAAAAACATTCTAAATTCAATCTCCTGCTGTGCAGTAGAAGATAATAAAAAACAGAGGAAGGGACACCCCCAATACTTAGCACACACACTCTCTGTCGTTGCCAGGGGCAGTTCGTTTCTTGAAATTTGGCTCCAAAGCCAGCCAATAGCCTGCAGGCCTTCCCTTGTTTCCAAGGGAACCAGCAAGTAAGTCATCTTTCCCTCTTCCGTTAGCCTTCCTTTGAAGGCCTTCTTATTCTCCCTTTCCCCTCTTTGTATCATCTGTCCTTGCTGATTGCTGGAATATGGAGCACAGAGGGCAGGCAGTTGAGAAAATCCTTGGATTTGTGAAGTCAAAGACTATTGGGAGGTCATGCCTGCCATTTCCCTGAAAAGCACTTCACTTACCAAATATTAATCAGATTAGAACAGACATTGTCCCAGGCGAGCTGATGAATTATTGCTGTCATTTGAAAAACCAGAATACTGGGGAAGCTCAAAGATTTGGCCAGAGTTGCCACATCAAGAGGCAGAAGTTGATGTCTTTGGGTCCTGAGGCTCCTCAGGCCTCTCTCTTGTGGCCTGCACTGGCCCCTGCTGACACAGCCACTGCCCGACAATAGTGGGGAGATGTGGCCTTTCCTGCTTTTTATTTTAAATTGTGGTAAAATATAAATCACATAAAATTTATCGTCTGAACCATATTCAAGTGCACGG